CCACCGATCAGCTGATTGGCGGCTCCAAAATGGCCGCCGGACGCGAAAACATTGCTGGAGCGGTAAGTTTGGACGCTTATTGGAACGCATTAAACTAAGTTTAATGCGTTCCAATAGGCTTTCCTTACCCGCACAGCGATGTTTTCGTATAGCGAAGGTTAATCCGGAACGGATTAACCTCGCTATACGGGGCACCACTGTACTTGGGTACCAGTCTGAGGGTCTGTAGCTAGTGTTGAGCCAAAGAGACAGAACAGGTATGTTGCTGTTGTTGTTTTATTCCAACCCTCTGACCAGCAGTTCCCTGGTTGTGAGGGTCTCAGAAGTTGTCCTGGAGAAACCCAGGGCTGTGTTTTCAGACCATGAGTTGAGACTGAACTGACCTGCTTTGGGAGAGAGCTAGGGGAGTGCTATACTACCTAGATAATATCAGCAGCTTTTTATACCACCATCTGTGGTATCTTACTAGAGTAGCTCTGTCAGGTAGGAATGTGAGGCACAGTGTTTCAGTGGTTATGTTCTTACCCAGAGAGTCATGTTGGAGGATTTCTGTTTATCCTTGTGGCTATTAAACTGTGGGATACCATTGGTATCTCCTGTGCTCTTTAACATGTGCATGATGTTTCTGAGTGAAAAGAACATCCAGAGAACAACTTCATTTTCTTTTTTGTGTGTTTTCTAGTGATGATTGTTTTTAGTTTATTGGTTGTTTATTACATGTTTAATTCTATAAGTTTAATTTTTTTTAAATAAGTTTAAAAAGATTTAACCATGTTCAAGTTTAATGTAATGTATGCCAAACCTTAAAAGTAATTTGATTTGTGTATTTTCTCCACTGTATTCCCTGAAGAGTTCTTGCAGCCTCTTGAGTACTTCAAATCTTCAACCTTTACGTCCGTTGCCTTGTATCCAAATACTTGTGGACAAAATTGTTCTGGAACACTCTGTGCCAATGTATGCCGAACAGCTTGTGCAAACCATCAGCAGCCTCAACCAGCTGTCCGAGAACTTAGTACACTATTGTTATGCACACTGCTATCTTAAGGTATTTTGTTTTTACTTGTAAAAAAAAAATTAAAAATTCAATATCTATAAATAGTGGTGACTTTTCACAAGTGTGATACAACAACGTACTCCTAATGCCATAAAATCATCTAAGTTTATTGTGTTTGGATATACATGATATTTTGAATCATTCATTTAAGATTGATTCATACAGTAGATCATGACTTGTGTTATGAATGGTGTGCCTTATATTATTTATATCCTAAAGTATTGGCGAGGGATAATATGGCTTTAAAATTGAAATGGGTTATTGTTGGTGTAAAACATTGGCACTTGTATTTTGTGCTAGTTCTATTTTGTACTAGCTTGATGTTTTGCTATGTTTCAGGCATTTGGTTTTCAGGCAGGACTGTCCTCATTGGATGTTAATGGGTGTTACAGTTCACCAGCTTCTGTTGTCCCCCCCTTCGGTATCGCTTTCTATGGCAAAATGCTTAAGCTTCCTCAACATTGGTAAGTACTCAAATACTTAATATGGGGTTTATCTGTGGTTACAATCATTGCATTATAAATTAATTTTATATATCGTTATCTTTAATTTATGTGCTGCCTTTCTTTCAAAACTGGGACTCAAAGTGGCTTACAATTTTCAGTCGTAGAGTTAAAGTTTACTCAAGTTGGGAATATTAAAAGAGAATTAATTTCATTTAATTTTTAAAATACAATTAGATTTGAAATACTTCTAAATCATTTGAACTACTAGTATTAGTTTACCTATAAAAGAGAGAAAATCCTTACACCGGCTAAAATCTAGTGTCTGAGACTATTAACTGCCAAAGGCCGACCTAAGTAAAAATATCATTTTCTTTGCTGGCAGAAGCACAGCAGGGAGAGAGCAATCCCAGCCTCTTTGGGCAAAGAATTCCAAAGCTTGGGAGCAGCCACAGAGAAAGCCCTATCTTGAATCCCCACTAAATTGATCCCTAAAAGTGATAGGACTGTGGAAAGGTATTGTCCAGGATATCTCAAAATCCAGGCAGGTTTGAAAGGGGCAAGATGATATCTCAGTTAATCTGTATTTAATTTGTAGAGGGCTTCATGGGTCATAAAGGTGTCAAGGAATTAGTTGCCAGCAAAGTTGCTGTAGGAAGGGATTTATATGATCCCTATAGTTGGCAACCTGGCTGAGCTGTTGTGAACTATATGAAGTTTCTAAACACTCTTCAAAAATAGTTCTAGGCAAAGCACATTACAGTAATCCAGTTGGGATGTACCTAAAGGATGTTAGGCCTTACTGCCAGGGGTTGGAAATGGGAGGCAGTTTTGGGGGCAACCCACACCTGATTGTACTCCCTTCTCTTATAATATGGGTGCTGCTGTGCCTCTCTATATTTTCTCCTTCCCAATATAATTCAAATAGTGGCTCCCTAATTTATTTCATCTCTTTCCCTCTTCTGATAGCACATCCTTTCACCAGCAAAGAGGAGCATTAAATTCTAGTTATTGTTGCATACAAATTGAGAAGGGCAGATAAGCCGCAGCAGAGTTCTCTCCATTTTTCTCTTTTTTCAGATGTGGGACTGACAAAGGGTGACCCCCTTTGGTGTCAGTACCTTCAGTGGCATCTGCCTTATATTCCCCAGCCCCGAACAACTGATGTAACCGGGGGGCGGGGGGTAGGAGTCAGCTGGCACTTTCTGCCAGGGAAATGCTGAGCCATTCAGAACATGACCCGAGTTGTACAAGGAGGTACAGCAGCACGGTATAGTTCTGAAGTTTCCGGTGGCAAAAGGCAGCAGTAGCAACAAAGTAGGGTTATAGTCTTTTGTGGCTAGTGTTTCTTTGGAATCTCCTCTCTTTGCAAGGTGTATTGGATTATATATTGTATATGATATAGTGTCTTGCAGTAAAAAAAAAAAAATACTTGAAAAGAAGTGTTTAAGGTGCTGCGGGATTGTTTGTCTAAGTTGACCGGATAGCTCAGTGGTTTAGACATCTGGCCACAGAGCCAGAGTTTGGGAGTTCAGTTCCCTATTGTATAAAAGCTGGACAGTGGAAAAAGCTGATGGGAAGAAAATTGTTTAACGTATAATATGGGGCTAGAGAAAAGCTTTGTGGATAACCTGGATTGCCATAAAGACAAACAAGTGGGTCCTAGAGCAAATAAAGCCTGAATTTTCTTTGGAGGGAAAAGTGATGAATCTGAGGCTGTCCTGCTTTGGGCACATCATGAGAAGACAAGGATCACTGGAAAAAGTAATGTTGGGAAAAGTTGAGGGCAACAGGAAAAGAAGAAGACCAAATGCGAGATTGATTGGCTGCATCAAAGAAGCCACAGGGATGAGTTTACTAGAGCTGAGCTGAGCTGCTGAGGACAGGATATTTTGGAGGTCACTCATTCTTAGAGCTTCCAAGGGACTTGACAGTATGTAACAACAACATAACACTCTGTAAATACTGTAGTCTCTGCTCATATAATTAAGGCTATTACATTTTGAGTCCTTTTCCTTGTTAGAATTTTGAACTAAAATCTTTCCTACTAATGAATAGTTATTGCTTTGAATTTGTTTCCATTCATTCCTTTCAAATGAATTCCACATCTAATAAGCTGACACAAAAACATAGGTGTTGACAGTTTCTTTTCTCACTCAAGTCTATATCCTTTGAACGTGAGGTCTAATACCACGTGCAGCTGCATGTCAAGTAACTATGTATGTGTGTGTAATTTTTTAACGGGTTTGTAAATGCTATTCTACGTGTGTAGTTTTTTAACGGGTTTGTAAATGCTATTCTAGTACAGATTGCTGTGGCACTTTGCTATCTTCATTAAGCACGGAAAATTTTCAGTGTTGTCCTTGTCCTGCTTCATTTTTTTGCTAGTTCAAATGGATCCTGGAATCTTATGTGGAAGGTTTGTTTTGTTTTGTTTTTAACCTTCATTCACCCAGAATCTGATAGGAAATTCATTTCTTTAATTTTAATTTAATTTAATTTGATATTCAATAAGTCATTTTTGTAATAGTGTTAAATGAAGGTGTGGGGGTTTTCTGCTCTATCACTAACGATTATGCTTTAATGAACATGTATTTGGGCAGTGATAGCTTAATTTTGTTGGTTATCTGTTTTATTGGTACTTTACCAACCCCCTCCCCTTTAAGTCATTTGATTGCTTTTCATTCTTTTAGCTGGAGTTTCAGTGAGAATAGAAAATACGTATAGTATAAAAATTAGATTTTGAACTTATGATTATGTTGAAAATAGCAAAAATTACTTTTCTGGGTGCTCTTCTACACCCAGGGAAAGTTCTATTCAGAAAGTGTCATGTGCATATATATGGGCACTCAGGCATATATTTCTGCTAATGGGCTCCTTGTTTAGTAAATACAAATATCTTAGAATGCTTCAAAAGTAATCTGAATACCCAGGTAGATCTTGTATATGTATGCAAGTATGCAGTCAAATTTAAATAAATGTCTTTGTCCTCAGACCTATCGAGCTGTCTCACTTAAAATGATTGGTTCACTTATGTATGTAGTCTTTTTGATAATTAAACCTAACGTATATAGTACAGTAAGACAGAACATTACTAGGCCAACAGATATGTTATTTCAGTGGGGACTAAATTAATATTTATATTCCTCTGTAATACTGCAGCCAAGAATTAGCGAATTAATAGGCTATGTTTAATAACTGCTTTTTAATTTAGTTTTGTTTAAAATTATGAATATATTGACATTAATACATGTTAAAATATAAACTGAAAAATAATAATTTAAAGATATTGAAGTAGAAATAAATGAGTGCTGCAGCCACATTATTAAATGAAGTGTATTATGAAGTGAATAAAACTCCAGATGAAATACATCAAATAGCACTTGAACTAAATCGAAATCAGCATGTGGACTGAGAGCTTCATTGAAGTCATGCAATGAGTGGGAACTAGTCTGGGAGAATAGCCTGGTAATGTCATTAAACTTCATTTTTAACAAAGTATATATATACCACCTGCTTTATTTGGATTTTGAGATTTCACATTCCAGTATTACTTAAAGTACACACATCTGATGATATGTATGCTCTATGTACACAACAGCCCATAGTTTTGAAAAACAAAGACATTTTATGAACTGTTATAGAATCCCCTAGGTAGTATGTTTTGAATTAGCAGTGAAAATCTCAACTTTATTTCTGACATAAATCTGCAAAATAGCTTTCATTTTTCTTGTTTAAAAATAATTCCAAACAATATACATCCAATATATGGTATTACCGTAATATTTGCACTTTTCAAACTACATTTGAAGAATCTGGATAACATTCTTTGTGGTCTAGACTTTAGATGAAGTAACATTGTTAGAGATGGACAGTGTTAACTGAACAATTTGAAGTCAGCAATAAAAAGGTTTGGTGTGCTATTTTATGCATTTCTATTCAGCTCGGAGAAATACTGGCCAAAAGTGTATTGGTTATGCCCAAGAGTGTAATGAAAGTGGTTTAACTTTTAGCAATGAATAGCCCCAAGTTAAGTCAGCGTAGACATTATCTATTGTATGCTAAGTTGCACTGACTTCTTATCTTATGGCAGCAGTTCCCTGCCAAAGGTTACATCGTTTGAATTATACTGGTGTAAAATGACAGTGTGATTTTTGCCACTTAATGTCTCAGAGCAATGAATAGTTTAATGCTTATAAACATTTTCATTCTTATAATTAAAACATTTACCATGTTTAATCCCATTGGAAAGATCTGCTTTAAAAATGAATTTTAGGAGACTAGAATTGTGGCTTGTTGTGAACAGGCAAAGAGAGAAAGAACAATGGGAGGACAAATTGGTTGCAGAGTGGGTAGCTCTATGTGACACAAGCAAGTGTTTCCCCCCCTATTAAATGGTTGCATAACACTATAAATAAGGTTGATTGCCAGCTGAGATACATGTGTAAGATAAGAATGAAGGTACTATGGAATTAATTTGCAAACTGTCCCATTCACCCTTCATGCTTTTAACACAGTAAGTGCAGAATTAGACTAGGATATAAGATTAAATAGACGGACGGACGGACGGACGGACGGACGGACGGACAGACAGACAGACAGACAGACAGACAGACAGACAGACAGATAGATAGATAGAGGTACTGATCACAATTGGAGTTCAGGAATCTTCAAGACTCTATTGTGAATATAAGGTGCTGCCATCCCATTTTTGTTTGTGGTTATTGACAGTTCTATTTCCCCCAATACTCCTGGAGAAACTAAAACAAAACCATTGGGAGAATCAAAATATTTACTATGACACTTCTTGTCTTTTCACAAGTTCCTTTTAAGTAAGTGACTGTGAGGCATTGGGTCTTCTCCATTCATTCACCACATGATACAAAGTACCTTCTCAATTATGCTAGTTAAAGGTGGGAATTAACCCTATCACTTTGCTTCATATCCATCTTATGCAGTTTCAGGTTGCTGCACTGAATTATTCACTACCAGTGCACCAGGTGTTTTAACTGTTGTGGGAG